CTATATATATTTACTATTAAAATGAAAAATATTAGCCAGTTGTCTTTGATTTCATAGAAAAAAAAAGGGGGTAATATATTTTTGAAAAGTTGAACTGAAACAAGTTTTATTTTAGATTAGAGGTTGGCAACTTTTTCTGTAAAGAACCAGATAGCAAATATTTTAGGCTTTTATGAGTTCTGTGGGTCACATATGGTTCTCTGTTGCATTTTCTTTTCTTTTTCTTTCCCTTTACAATTCTATAAAAATGTAAAAATTATTCTTAGCTTTAGGGTATATAAAAATAGGACCAAGACTGTGACCCCTACTGTAGATTTAGTTCTACATAAACTCATTTTTTACTTCAACATAATTTCAGAGTTGACAGAACCCTTAATTCTACATTGTATTTTTTAAAAAGATAACAGAATTTGGAAGTCGTATAGGCCAGAATTCGAGTCCTGCTTTCATCCTTTACTAGCTCTGTGACTTGGGCAAGTTAGTTAACTGCTGGGATTCTCAGCTTTCTTATTCATATGTAAAATAAAACCAGTGCTACCAGGGTGGATGTGGTTGTCTGGATTCAATGAAATAATTTGGAAAAGTACTTTGTCCAATAATTATTAGATAATAGAACCTCAAAAAATATTACTTCATTTCTTCCATTCCTTTCCTTATTTGATAATATTTTCTAGATTCCCCTCCCCCATACCTTCTTTGTTCTAGTAAAATTTTAGACTGTGTATCTCTAGCAAGTTATCTTAGTAGAACTCTCAGTGTGACCTAATTGTAGTCTGTAAGGATGGTTAGGAAACTTCTCTTCACTCTCTCTGAAGGGTCACTGGGATGACCTGACAGTATAGTAACAGGAAAAAAAAAAGCCTACAAATTTATTGTGTACATGGACACAGGAGTCCTGAAAATATGAGACTCAAAGAAGGTCCAGATGGTTGAGGCTTAAATACCCTTTTCATATGGAAGAAGGAAGTGGGGAAGTATATGCAGTTTTAGAAGCAAATGGCTTTTGAGGGAAATGAATGAGCCCAAACAACAGACTGTTGGCCTAGGACAAAGTACTGAGCTCTGGGGGACATTACTGCAAATTGTGGGAAGCGGAGGGGTAGAACTCTGCTATGAACACAAGTTGTCTCTTAGGTAATCTCTCGGAAGTACCTTCAGAAGAATAGAAGAAAAACCTGTCTGGGTGTGGTTATGACTTTTAATCTTTCCTTTGGTGACTAATCTTTTCTGGTTATTTGATGAGATTCCTAGGGAAGGAGTTTTAAGACAGTTGCATTTCTTCTGGAAGAACTTCCCTTAATCAGATGATGGAACTTCAGAGAGAGCCCCTCCTACTGCTTCCCAAAAGAAAGAGGATGGTAGAGACTGGGAGCAGAAGTACAGAGACCTTGGTCCTGAGGCTTGTTTCTGAGGCCTTTCAGTTTCCTTTCATTCAAAGTTCTTAGCATGCCAAGGTGCCTTAATTTGGAATATTATTTTCTGAGCCCCAACAAGTCAAATTAATTTGTCAACATTTTGATTATTTGGGACAGGTTATTGACTTGACTTCTTCTTACGTATGGTTTCTACTCACCAAAAGCAATCACTCTTAGATCTCTTTGGTAGTGCCCCATAATCTGTATTTTAAAATTATATTAACATATACTGGTGGCAAAACTTTTATGAGAATCTTAGAGAATATTTCCTAGAATTTCCTGAAGGATATTTATATTCCTTTATGTTTATATAAATATTTTGAACCCTATGCTAAGCTGGTGGATTAAAGTCCAAACTAGGAAAAAAAGATGTATATGAAGGTTGAGAGTGGGGATGGATGTTCATTTCGCTAAAGGAGTCTTAACTCCACTGTTTTGTTCAATTGCTTTTAGTGATTATTTGAATCCTACCTGTAACTTCCTATTAAGACTACCTTGACATTTCTCGTTGGTTGGAAAACAGCAAGTGGTGGTGTTGGAGAGATTACTTTCTTAGAAATCATGCTCCTCAAGGTTGTACTCATGCATGTTCTAAATTGTTTTAGGTCTGAAATACTTATGGACTGAAATAGCAAATAGCTAATGTATATCTTCTTTGTTGTACTGTTAGCTTTTTGTCTTTTTTTTTTTTTTTTTTCAATGAGACAGAATCTTGTGCTGTTGCCCAGGCTGGAGTTCAGTGGCACAATCTTGGCTCACTCAGTCTCTGCCTTCCGGGTTCAAGTGATTCTCCTGCCTCAGCATCCCGAGTAGCTCAGATTACAGATGTGTGCCACCACACCTGGCTAATTTTTGAATTTTTAGTAGAGACAGGGTTTCACCATGATGGCCAGGCTCGTCTCAAACTCCTGATCTCAAGTGATCTGCCCACTTTGGCCTCCCAAAGTGGTGGGATTACAGGCATGAGATACCATGCCTGGCCAGGTTTTTATCTTTATATTAAATATAAATCCTATACTGCCCTTCAAAGTTTGAGCAATCTAGCAAAACCCAGAGGCCTGTAGCTTAGTGATGACAAAGATAGCCTTAATATTCCCCTTAGCTTGACACCACTTGATAGGCTTCTTCCTGACTGCAGGCCCCTGACCTCTCTTTCTTAGAGCATTAACATAAGAATACTTGAAATTGTAAATTCTTTTCTTTCCCTTTGAGATATAAGTTTTCTGTCATCCACCTGCCACTTGTATAACCCAAGATGGTTATTCTTTTGCAGGATATTAGTCATTGTGGGAGGTAGGAGCCTTAGCACCAATTAGCAAGCGTAGATAGCATGATCACATTGACCAGCCTCACTATAACATCCTCTGGTACTTTTCTACTGTATCACCCCAGTGCTTTTTAAAACTTCCACCTTTTGTTTCATTGAAGTTTAGTTCAGACTCTTCCCTATTACACTCGCCTCTCTCCTATTGCAATAGATTTGAATGAGGTCTTATGTTTTTAACTTGTCTGGTACTATTTCCCTTTGACAGTGATTGAGAATAAAAGCTCTAGAGTCACAATTGCCATAGACACCTGACTTCATTTTACTACACAAGCCCCATAACCTCACTAAACTTCTGTTTCCATATAAATAAAATGGAGATAATGGGACTTAAAGGATCAGCAGATGTAAGGCGCTTAGCATACTGCTTGGCACATAGTAGGCACCTCATAAAATTCAAGTCTTATTTCTTTGTGCTGGTGAGTATATAAAAAGCTTCTTAATAGCTCTTTTTTTTTTTTTTAAATAGTAAACTAGTATATTAAAATACGATACCATTTGTGTAATTATCAATATGTCCCATTTTGGGATATCTGCTTTGTAATGTGAAGCCTGTGTAGTTCTTGGAATAAAGACAAAAATGCATCAGAAACAGTGAAAGCAAGCAACCTGTTCCATATTTGATCCTGATGTGTCTAGTTGAGTTAGGGCAGAGAGATCAATTACTTCTGAGGCCATGTTAAGAAACAGCATCTGTGGGAGGGAGAGACAAAGTGAAATATTTGTTTTCAGACAGCCTTGCAAGTTACTCCAACACATCTCTGTGCTGTTTATATTTTAAAGTTTAAAATATCTCTTACTGAGTCTATCCTAAAACCAAAAACTTAAACTAAAATTCAAATGCAGACTTTCCTTTTAATAGATCTATTTTAAAGTGCAGATTATATTGTAAATACTCTATTGTCTCGAAGCTGCATTATGAAACACTGCCTAAATCCTTTAATTTTAAAGAAATGTATGTGAAATGATACATTTTCAAAGTTGAAACTGCTTTCTTTTTCTGGGGAGGGGGAATGGTAATCATAGTTGGAAACTGCTATTTTCTGACTACACGTCACAGTAAATGTCTAGTCAAAACACTTCTCCATTCAATGTATGCTGTGTCTGTAAAACTACTTCTCCCTCTTTCTTCTCCCTCCAAAAGTAATCTGAGGTAAATTCACTTGAATTGCCATCTAACTTTTAACAATCTGTATTCTGTTTGGAGGCCCTGTGTGCGATCCTAACTGACTTACAAAGGTAGCAGTGATGATATGGATTCGTATGAAAGGTCAAAAGTTCTGCATCCGTGTTCTATTCATAAATACAGATGATAACATGATGGTGTTTTTTGTGTCTTGGTTGAGTCATTACCTCTTACAGTCTCTTCACTATCATTATGTTTTCTGTTAATGGAGACTCATAACATTAGGTTTACAGTTGACCTATGACTTGCCAGGGTTAAGGGTGCTGACCCCCACTCTCCTGCACAGTCAGAAATTTGCATAATTTTAATTTTTGACTTCCCAAAAACTTTACTAATAGTCTACTGTTTTCCAGAAAGCCTTCCTGATAACATAAACAGTCAAATAATACTTATTTTGTAGTTATATGTATTATACATACTGTATTCTTACAATAAAGTAAGCTAAAGAAAAACTGTTAAGAGTATCAAAAGAAAGAGAAAATATGTTTACTGTTTATTAAGTAGAAGTAGATCATCAAGAAGGTCTTCATCATCTTCACGTCGAGGACGCTGAGGAGGGAGGGGTTGGTCTTGCCATCTCAGGTATGGCAGAAGCAGCAGAAAATCCATATATAAGTGGACCTGTGCATTTCAAACCCATGTTCAAGAATCAACTTTATACTTTTAGAATGTTTGCTCTTATCCCCTCTTCCTGCTTGAAATAGTTTTATGTTTCAGGGAGGGGTTACAGGAAAAAGCAAAGCCTCCTCAACTGTGTGAATACAGATAAAAAGACATATTGTGGTTTATGATGTCTAGATGCCCACCTGGAGGGAAGGGAATTTAGGAGCAAAATAAAAAGATTAAAAATCTAAGTCAACTCAGAAATAAGATACGCCAATGATGAAGAAAGGATTTAAGTTGGAAATTTGTTATGGCCCCCCAGTTGTACATATTTTATCCTAAGGCACCATTTGGTTTAATAAAATGTAGATCTGAGGCTGTTCTTAACCTATCAGTTTCTTAAGACTTAATTATAAAGGTTATATTTTCAGAGGACAAAGGCATTATTCATTCTTCTGTGCTTGTCTTCCAGGTTTATCTTGCAGATTATGGACTTTCCTACAGATATTGTCCCAATGGGAGCCACAAACAGTATCAGGAAAATCCTAGAAAAGGCCATAATGGGACAATAGAGTTTACCAGCTTGGATGCCCACAGGGGAGTAGGTGGGTTTCTTTTTTCTTCTTCTTATTTTTATTTCAGAAGAATGATTAGAATCAAGGGTAATGAGGCTGCATGCAATGACCTTTGCATAGTCAGTTTGAAGCATAAGAGCACTGGTGAGACTTTTATCAAAAGTAGTGAATTCATGTTATGCCAATGAGTATTTCTTCTAACAGTGGAAAGAAATATAGACTATGATAAGTGATGAAGGAGCAAAAATGTGTCAAATAAGCAAAACTTGATGCTCATTTTGGCCCGAAAACCACTAGTTTGTATAGGTTAGACTTGGAGGTCAGCGCTGAATATTTATACTGAAATGTATGTTACAGATTTGGTAAAGTTGCGCATGGGGCAGGCACAGTGGCTCATGCCTATAATCCCAGCACTTTGGGAGGCTGAGGCAGGAAGATCGCTTGAGCCAGGAGTTGAAGACCAGGTTTGGGCAACATGGTGAAACCCCATCTCTACAAAAAAAATACAAAAGGGGTAACACTTGCCTGTGGTCACAGCTGCTCGTGAGTCTGAAGTGGGAGGAGGATTGCTTGAGCCTAGGAGGTTGAGGCTGCAGTGAGCCATAATCATGCCTCTGCTCTCCAACTTGGGCAACAAGTGCAAGGCCTTGTCTCAGGAGAAAAGAAAAAGGTGCACATGTGAACGGTTATTCCTGTTTTTCCATTGTACCTTTACCAAAGCTTTAGAAGATATCATTTCTCAACAATAAGGATATCTTTTCTGAAACTATAAAGTGTTAATTTGTGGAAATCTCTCCCAGTCGCCTTTCATATATCTTACTTATTTAAACTCATTTTGATGGTATTGGAAACACATTTGCAGGTAAATTACATACATAGTCCTTTTATTGGATATTGATTGTACTGCCTTGCATTCCAAGGCAGACTTAATTCAACAATTCCCTAATTAGTTAAAGTCATAACCTATGTCTTGTATTCATTTACCATTAATTAAACCTTAGCTGTTTATTACACTGCAGTCCAAATCCAATAGCCGACCCAGAAAGCCATGGAAAAGGAAGTAGGAGGTCAATATTGAAAATATATGGTGCTGAGTCCCACTGATGGTTGCTTTGTTCACAATCAATATGGTCAATGCAACTGTACTTTCTTAGTTGCTCTGTCAGCAAGACAAAAAGTCAATTCTGTTATGCTAGTGAAAAAATGGTAATTATTGAAAAACTTTGGCTTTCAAAATTATATTCTTTGTAAACTTTGTTTATAAAAGTATTTTCAAATATGCTAAACCAAACAATTTTTAAACAACTTTGAAAGGACCACATTTTCACTAAAAGTCAATTAGATATTTGCACTTCTTAATGGTTGTTGAACTGTTACTCTAAACTGATACTTTCTAACAAGTTTTAGTTGGTGAAAACAACTGTGTATTATTGCCTTTTCTATTAAAAGGACCATTGACCATGTAATGTAGAGGGTCCTGATCATTTTGCAGACCATTAGAACCCATACTGGCTTAAGGTAGGACAATGAAAAAGTAAAACAAGTATACCTTATTCCTTTCAGAAAGATTCATAGGTGGCATTTTCCAAAATGGAAATTAGCTTTTATATTCCTGATCAGAGTAAAATGAATGACTATATTTTTTAAGTATAGTTTGGTTAGAATAGTAATGATCAATTAGAAATTTTGTACTGTTGTATGATTTTTCAGTACTCACATTGTTAATAAATTAGTGAACATTTAAAGATAATCTGGGGGCATATATTAAGAAATGTGAGAATTAAATAAGAAATTTAAGAATTAAATGCTCTTAGTGGTTTTTTTTTTTCCTAATCTAAAGTTCTTTCACTATCAGTGGATTTTGTTTGTCATCTTTGCCAGATTTATTCTATTATACCTAATGGAATTTTTAAAAACGGTACTTTTTTTTTTTGATAATGGTATAACTTGGAAATTCATCATACAGGTTCTTAAGCATTGGTCCAGTTATATTAATAATGATACCAACTTATGTTTGAATCATTTTTTCAATTGGTAGCTCTAATACTGCTGTGATCTAGTTTAGAGTATTAGAATTGCTAAGAAACCACTGTGATTGTGGAAGGAGAAGTAGAGTTGTTACATGTTGGTATGGTCAATGTTTGGACTGTGGTAAATCTGAAAGACCTTTTCAATTAATTTCATTGTTTAGGGTGTCATTTTCATTGAAATCTTGAAAGATTTCAACACATTTTTATTTTTTAGTCTACTTATATTTTTATTCGAAAATCTTAATACATGTTGAATATGTTGGTGAGATTTCACCACCCCTCAGTCTTTGGGGAGAAGACTGAACTGAGAATGATCACAGAAAGATGGTATTAGGTATTACATCCCTGGGAGGTATATTCAAAGAAGAAACTACATTAACTATTTTTGGGATTTGCTGAAAAGTTATATGATAGAATGGATATTCATTTTTATCAAGGATTCCACCAGATTCCTATAAAATAGTAGATTTTCTTAAAGCATTTTAAACAGGATTTACACTAAAATTCTAGGCGTATTGATATATATATGTAGATATAGATATACACATTACATATATATGCACATATGTACACATATATACACACATATATAGATATATACACCCATATATATATTTGCTGACATTTTAATGTGAAGTTTTAGTCTGGGATATAAAATGGAAGATTTGATATCCTCAAATGTTTGAATATGTTTACTCCTATGTTTTACATTTAATTTTCCAAAGTAAAACATTTCAGTTGAGGATTTTATTAGAAAATAAATAATCATTTAGCCATATCTAGAACCTGTAATAAACAGTGCCATAAAGCTTATAGGAAAATGCAGGTCAGATTCATAAATATTCATGTGTTTACTTTCAATACAGTCACTATGTAGTTTAATCTCAGAAAAATCTGTTTTTCAGTCCAACTATGAGATCAAATAAATACTGAGGAAAAATAGTGCAAAATAAAGTATAAAGAGCAAAACGAAATTATTACTAGGATATAGAATTTCTAGGTGCCAAAGCATTTGCCAAGTGTCAGGTCTATCTGTATCTGGTCAGGCCAAGAGACCTGAAGGGAAATACTCAAGCTTCAATGTAAAACTGGCTTATGAGTTAGCCACTCAATGGAAACTACTATTAGACTGATCAGACTATCTGTTCTGTGCTACTTTTTGTAGCAGGTTATTAAAAACTAAAGCTAAATCTCATTTTTCTATGGATTGAGTTTTTATAATGAAGGAACTTGTATAAGCTGCCAATCAACCATTTCATCTAAGCATTTTCTAATTCAAATTTACATAAAAGGAGGGTAGTTCAAAGGGGAAAAATAGCTATTAAGTTATTACAAACCAAAAGATATGCATGGAGATGTATAGAGGTGGATGGACAGATGGATGAATGAACGGATAACTATTCCTAGAACTCCTATACATCTGCATATCTGTATTTTTTTAAAAAAAATTGTGGTTATTCTTCCAAACTCAATTCTCTTGAATGATCTAAAGGTATTTTCTAAGTGGCTAAAGTGCTTCATTTAGTATAAAATTAGAATAATATACGTTGGGCTTATTTCTTCTATTATTAATTTTTTATTATTCATAAAAACTAACATGTATAAACATTGACATAGTTGGGCTTATTGCCTGATAATTAAAGAGAATTATATTTGTGTCAAATGTACTATTTTAAAATTTGTTACTTTCTTCGTAATGTTAAAAAGCAATATTTGAATCAATGTGTGGTATAGATTTTTGTAGATTTTTCTACTCACTGAGGCATGCAGTCAATACCTAATTTCTCTAGAGATATACTGCATTTAACATATTGAGCTTTTTTAAATACTTCAGACCTGTGCATTGAGTCTATAATACCTATCTTAATTTGACATCTTTGATGACCATATAATACGATACCTAAATTGTATTTTAAGTGTCCATTTGTTTACCTAATACATTCAGTGTCAAAGAAATAAATACATTGCATACTTTTTTTTTTTTATTTTTGCCAATTGCTATGGTATGTGAAATCCAAGTCTTGTGTTATTTCTTGCATGGTTTCATTTCACTCTAATCTAACACTCTAACTTACAAAATATATGTGAAATAAACTGAGAATGTATTTTCATGCTAACAAACTCGAGGAAATGATGTGGTTTACACAATACTTATATTCTTAAGCAATAATTCCAAAAAGGGAATCAATTTTCCAATTATAAAATATTAAGGACCATCAAAATATTGATATGCCCTTTTAGATCTGTTAGTAAACAGAATAATACACTGTTGATTTCTTCTTTGATGTAAATTTGACTGCTGTAAATTATCTTTGGTTAATATATAAATAAACAATAGTGAAGTCTATTCCTTCTGTATGGCATATACCCAGTTTTTACATTTAAACATGGCTTTTAAAGTCTTGATATATGTCTTGGCCTTTTGGTCAGGTTAAGAATACACATTGGCCAAGTCTAAGATACATTTGCTCTATTGAGTGACTTTTTCCTAAGTTTCACATGGAAAAAACTGGGACTTAAAATTTAAAAGGTACTGAAAAACTAAGAGAAGCCTAGGTTTAATATTTTACCTGAAATAGGACACATTGCATCCTAATATTTCCTAATATCCTTTTCAAAATTACAGTAAGTCATGGTCACTATAAAATACTCTAGATCTTTACACATCAGAATTGACGAAATACTGAGTTACATAGGTTATCACTTGGAAAACTAAGAATACTTTAAGTTTGTTCTGCAGTAGTCACCTTTCACTTTGTCAGGTGAGCATCTTATTCAGATGTTTTCTGCTTTCTTGTTGTCTTAGCACATATATTAATATTTTGGGCATTTGAACTCTGCTTGATGGAGAAATTTTCAAGTTCACTTTATTATTTCCTACAAAACCTTGCTTTTTTCATACTCCATAATGTTACTCTATATAAGAAATAAAACTAAACAGAAAACTTAAGGCAAATAAGGAGATTAATCTTGGAATTAACACTTAGACTTTTCTTTTTTCCAATTCCTCTTTCAGTCCATTTGGTGAACTGGGCCAGTTAATTTTATTCCCGTTTGTCTTTAGACTAATGATGAGTTTGCTAAGCTAACTTATCTGTTGTTCTTATACCAGTTCTAAAGGTCCATTTATCACTTTATAAATAAATATTTTAACTAGAGATCCTTCTGTATTGGATTGAAATAAATTGTTTCATGAAAGGATAGTAACATGAAAAATTTCATCAATGATGCAGCTTAGATCTCAGGATCTTCCACTTATTTATTCCTTGCCCAAACAACTATATTTGTATCAGAATGTCATATTGCTGTAAGTTTACATGCCTGTTTCAAACACCTCCCTCACTGTGGAAGTTGTGTATGTAATGTTGTTTGAATGATATTAAAACTAATGATGGAGGCAAAGTAATAATATTATTATTTTTTTTGAGATGGAGTCTTGCTCTGTAGCCCAGGCTGGAGCACAATGGTGCAGTCTTGGCTCACTGCAACCTTCACCTCCTGGGTTCAAGCAATTCTCCTGCCTCAGCATCCCAAGTAGCTGGGATTATAGGTGTGTGCCACCATGCCTGGCTAGTTTTTGTATTTTTAGTAGAGATGGGATTTCACCATGTTGGCCATGCTGGTCTTGAACTCTGGACCTCAGGTCTTGAACTACCTGCCCACCTCAGCCTCCCAAAGTGCTGGGGATTACAGCCATGAGCTACTGTGCCCAGCAGCAAAGTAATTATTAGATTGAGCACAGGCTTTGGTTTCTGAAAGACTTGGATATCAGTGCTGAGCTCTGTTAATTTTTGCTCTGTGGTATTGAGCAAATTATTTAACCTATCTGAGACTCCATATTGTTGTAATTAGAGCTAATAATACTTATTTTAAATTGTTTGAAAGATTAGATGAAATAATAAAAAGCAGGTAGAGTGCCAGGCACAGTAGCAGCTCTACATAAAACACATCAATTGTTTTTAATTATGCATTCTATTCTCAGCCATTTCTAAAATTTTATTTCTAGTTAAATAGAATTTAAATCCCCACTTGTGCTTGTTTCTTTCTAATTGTTTTTACTCTGGAAATACTTGATAATTTAGAAATGTTGAACAATTGAGAATACAACAGGCTTTCAACAAGAGTGATGTATATTGCTTCATATTAGTAAGTTCAATGTAAGTTAGATGCTATTAATAAATAATATTTAGAAACTAACTTGAGAAAGTTAGAAATAACTAAATCTCATTACAGTTTCAAGCAATAATAAGTAAACATTTCATTTTATGACATCTATATGAAAATGTATTGTCAATAATCATATTACCAAATGCCACTGAAGAACCCTATGTATTACAATAAATTGTGCAAATACGTGACTCAAAAACAAAACAATGCATAACATATTTTCTATTGAAATGAATGAAAATATATGAAAAAGAAATACATTGCACAGTATCATCTGATTTTAGAGCTGAAAATGTAAAATGTTAGTGGCAGGGCTAGAATTGGATCTCATTCCTAGTCCAGAGCTCTCTCTATTTACTGCTTCACTTAACATGTTTTAAAATGAGTTTGAAAATTGTATAATTAAAGAAGCAACTTTCAAATTAAAAAAAGATTTTTTTATAGTTAGACATTAATAGTCCTTGACTATAATCAGTTCTTTGTGTAAATTATACATGCACACATAGATTCTAATTATTGTCTAGAATATTTGTTTTTAATTAATTTAACAGGTATTAAAATTACTCCTCTGTGTACAGTAGATGGAAAGAAGACAATCATTGGGAAAGTTGAAGATTTTAACTTCACCAAATAAGTCAGACTTCTCAATTTGTATTTCTGAGAGGGAATTTCAATAGAGGTATATACTCAAACATTTTTAGTCCCTCACTCTTCAATGTGGGGAAAGGAAAGGGTGGCTATTGGATGTTCTTTTTATCACTACATGCATTTATGTAGGACTTATCAGAAACAGTGGTGAAACGCTTACCTAACCATAGTTGTTAATATATATGTACAAAAAGGAAAAGATTGAAAAATGTGATAATGTATTTTAATTAGGTAAGACCAAACTATAATAGTGAAGTAAAGTTAACTCTCAAAGGGCTATTTCAAATGAAGATCAGTTTATGAAAGATTGGCTTCAGAAATCTAAATGACTTGTCATTACTTACAGCTTCATATCAATTAATCCCTCAGTTGGGGGGTAGGGGGAAATGGCTAGGAAGGTTCAATCTATTTTAATTCTGATTGTTTTTCCTCAAAGGGCCTCTTGTGTGTAGCTTGTATCATCCAAACAGGTGCCAGAATATCATTTTTTGAAAATTAGAGGATATGAATTTTTTTAAGTAACGGTAATCGGGAATTGCCATAATGGAAAAGGGACTCGTGAACACATCTGTACAAATGGAACCATTCCATTATTAATGGGAGATTTATTACTGAAGAAATCACTACAGAACAGTGTGGTAGAGATTGTGTTTTTATTTTAATATGAAAGCCAAGTCTTGCATTAGGACATTGTTGAAGCTTGTGTGGAAAGTAAATGGCACCCATGGGACTGTAGCATTCTGCTAGATTGAAGGGCCTTTAATAATCCAATACGCTAATAGCAGTTAAGATCGAGTGTAAGAGCTAATCATGTCTTCTGCTTTTATAATAACTTATACATGGTAACCAAAAGTAGTTATGATGTGCTGGCCTCATTGTTCTTAGTAGATGACTTTTCAAATTAAAAACTAAGTTCACTGAGTAACTTTTCAGAGTTTATTTCATAAAAGATAGTAAAATAGGATACCTGTTTACAGCAGTTTTAACAGCCACCTGCTACTCTTAGGAGATTATATATCCCTACACAGATGAACATTCGAGTAATGATAGAAATGTAAATACAAGCCTGTTGTTTTATAACAATTTTGAATGACTATAAAATGGGTTTATCTTATGAGTATTTGCTAATGTTCGAATCATTATTTCAGTGGTTTGTTAATAAGTTCGTTTATATTTGATGTTTCCTAGGTTTCATTGTCCATCTTCTCATATAAGGCACTTACAAATATATGTTAAATTATGAAATTAGTCTACAGCATTTAATAGCTTGATATAAATGATATTTTTAAGGGCGTGAAAATGTGCTTTTAATATATTTTTTATGGAAAATGATCTTATATTAAATTTTGAAAGCCTCTGTTTGGCTTCAGAGTCTACTCCCCACCACCTCTCCCCCCCAACCCCGCCTCCAATGCCATTGCCTCACTTTTATATCGATATGGGACCAGAATTTTAGCTTGCTGCTGCTTATATCCATAAATAATATTTATAAAATTGTAGAACCCTATATCCAAAGCAGTAGACATATTTTTATTGTATTTTCATGTGATTGAAAAATCTTGAGACAGACCTGTTTTTTGATACTGCACACTAGATGGCAGTTTTGTCATATTCTTCCAATTTCAAATGCTGCTAGTGTGAGTGGAACAGGAAAGGCCATCAGTGTTTAGTCTGCACTCAGAGGGTCTCTGCATGACCAACGCAGACCCTATGGACTTCCTGGAACATATGTTAGCAATTTAGCTGCAGACATTTATTTCTTTGTTTTACTGCTTGGCTCTTTGAGAAAGTGTTGGTGCCGGGTTACGGGTTGTCTGGATCATGTCAGAGGCCATGGGGATCAAGTTCATGTGACAGGCCAGACTAAGGAAAGATGAAGTTGGAGGAGGTGAGGAAACTGACCCTTACTTTCAACAGCATCCAGTCGCTGCCTGTCTGTGGATTGGGGCCAAATGCTTGGACGTTTAAGTTTTATTCCAGCTGAACAAACAAAACACTTTGCCCATTTGGCTTTTTCATATTTCATCAGTAGTAGATCACCCAAAGATTTCTCCATTTCTCAATGACTTGCTTATCCCTCGTCTTTCTCTCTAATGCTTATTCCTCTAGCCCTGTCCAGACGAAGTGACGTTGAGATCCTTGGCTACTGCATGCTGCGGTGGTTGTATGGGAAACTTCCCTGGGATCAGAACCTGAAGGACCCTGTGGCTGTGCAGACTGCTAAAACAAAGTACAAATTTTCAAGTATTTCATCATATACTGCAGCAGGTCTGAAGGGATACATTAAAGGGAGCTAATGACACAGAGAAGATTGACATTCACCCAACATGACAACCAAGGCAAATTTCTTTAGTTTGAAAAATATGTTTTAAAAAACCAAACAACTAACACATAAAATCCATTAAGGTAACATTATAAAAAGGCACGTACTTGAATTACAGTGCAAAATATAAAGTGAAATGTCTGTTTCTTTATGTGGTATTTTCCAAAGCTTAGATTCTAGGTGGTAGTCTTTTCAAGGAAGAGTATTTTAAATTAACATTGTACAAGTATGTTGAAGTAGTCTGAGCTTGGTATGATTGATATTAACTATGTAAAACAGCAGTGTGAAATGGGACAAATCGGGCTTATATTTTTCAAGTGAAAGCAACGTACCTCTTATTTCTGTCTTGGAGGGAATATGTTTTGTTTCTCAAAGAAGAAACAGTTTTTACATGAGCTATTTATATGAGATAATCTTATAGCCACATAAACATTTTTAATATTCTACATTCAGTTTTTATTACCTGGATTCAGTTAGCATAAGAATTAGGTCAGACTAAGAACAGGGTGTTTTACTGTTGTACAGTTCTCTCACTGATCAAGCCTAAGAAAAAGTCAATTGCAGAGAGCACAGAATAACCAGTTTTTCATTATATACCAAGATATGCTCACCAGTAATTATCCACAGATAGCAAAAGCATCAGCTAAGCTAAGTTTTAAGTAGGACAATCACAACAGAAGAGTACAAAGCTAGGGGAAAATTAGCTGATTCATAGAAATCTCTTTGAATTCAATGTGGCATCCATTCTTAATAACGAGAAAGATTAGCCAGTAGATTCAGAAAAATGCATATTATGTTTGTAAATACTGATATATAGTATATGAAATATTTCTCCACTTGGAATCCTGATCATCCTAGTCCCTTACCCAAAACTAAAACATTTATGTAAGTCCATATTAGTACTAAATCAGTTATTCACTGCAGTGATTGATGTGTTCATATTAATTCTCATGTAATATTTTTGAAATTATGGGTCAAGTCTAAACACCATAATGGACATATATAAACAGTTTTGGTATTTAATTTTACAAACCAGTTTACCTAATTAGAATAATGTAATAAAGTAATACTATTTTTTTAAAAACTAGCATTTTAATTCTAATGATTATATGTTTGTTTTTATTTAAATAAGACTAGTATGACTTGCTTTAGTTTTTTATCAATATGCATATACATACATACATATATATATTCATTGTAGGTCTCCATAATGAATATACTTATGTATATTTGTGTATAATAGGGTGTCATGTAAAATAATAATATATGCTAATAAATAAAGCAAACATTTATTTACATTTTGGAGACTCATATATGTTAATATCTTAATTTTCACTTGATTAATAATGTAAATCTATAGACTTGTAAAGCCAATATCATATTATGAAGTTTATAATTCAGATAAACCATAGACATTTTCAAACTTGTTATAGTACATAATCATAATTTATGTATAGTACATTTATGTAATTTATACAATTTATATAATTTAATATATATAAATTTATATAATTTATATAGTACATAGTCATAATTCATTCAACTTGCTGAGAAGATATGACACTGAAATTCCCCATAAGGGTGGGATTGTATATTCAACCAAGATGCTACATCTCCCTTATGCCTTTTATTTTCCTGACATAGTGTGATGATGGATCAATGTATGTATTGTTATTCTGCCTATGCCAGAGGTTGTGAGTCGCTTACATATATAAATAATTTTAGTTGAATGTTTTTACAGGTTGAGTATTTCTTACTTGAAATGCTTGGGACCAGAGGTGTTTCAAATTTCAGATATTATTAAATTTTGGAATATTTACATTACACTTAACAATTGAGCATCCTGCAAACCTGTTTAATCATGGGATAGCATAGATTATTGCCCAGTGGAGAACAATGCACATATATAATAATTAACTTCTCTCCAGTGGTAAATGCCTGAGGAAAAAAAAAATCCTGAAATTTCAGATACAGTGTTTGCATGAATTTTTATTGTTGTTTTTGAGAAAAGAAAATCATGATAAATATTACTACTTCTGTGTTTCTGCATATATAAACTTTGAGTTAAAGCATTTATATTATAATTCCTATAATTCCACCTTGTTCAGTATTGGGGCTTAGAAAACAATACCCCAAAGTGTGGTGTTTTGGCATACTGAGAACCTTTGAACTGAAAGAGACTGGATGGCCTCTTTCTGACCTTCTCCTGCCCTCTTGTCTCATCCCTTCACCTCTCCAGAAGAGAGTCATAGAAACCAGAATTCCTCTTCCCCAAAGCAGGTTACAGAAACTAAACCCCTGTCCCCTAAGCAAGGCATTAAATGCAGAAAGGTCACCCTCTTCCTTCTCCCTTGAAGACCCTCATTCCAAAGGGGTCCTGCCCCATCCCCAGGAGGAATAAATGCTACACACATCAAGAAGAATATGGACAAACTTATGGGTCCCCTCAACCCACTTCAGTACCATTAGATCATACCCTTTGTCCAATCACATTCCTGCCCAGCTGTCTATTCTTCATCAAACCTAAGCATAAAGATAGACTTCCTTGGGTCTTTGGGTCTTCATTTCTGAAGTCTTCTGTGTCATGTAAAACTTTGATTAAATAAATTTGTTATACTTTCTCCTGATAACCTGCCTTTTGTTACAGGAATGTTGGCTGTGACCCTTATGGTGGGTAAGAAAAGGGATCACACCTTTCTGGCCCTACGTTAGTCTAGGTTACTGATATAAGATTAGTTTATGGGCATTGAGGGTTCTCCCCTATTTCTGCTTACTTTCCTATCTATTATAGCTGGGTAATAAAAAAAAAGCATTGAAAATCACAATTTTGGTGACCTACCAACACAGAGTTAGAGTTTTGTTTTCTAATCAAAAGAGTCACAGGGTTGAAAACATATTAATTGTGCATTACTTTGTTTTGTTTTAGTCTATTGGATGAGCTCCCTGAGTCAGTGCTTAAATGGGCTCCTTCTGGAAGAAGTTGCTGTAAGTCAAATAGTAACTTTTACTTTCTTAAGATTTACAGGTCACCACATTTGTTGCTCTCATTTGGTAGCTTTTGCTTAACACACCGGCTCCTATTCCCATCAGGGTGGAAAGGAGGAAACTTCAGGTTGCAAATAGGTTGCTAAAGAACGCAGTGTTTAGATCATCTTTAACATTAGAACACAAGAACCTCAGAAGATACTTAAGTGGAGTTTTAGGCTCTGCTTAGTGCATTTCTCTCTCTCTCTCTCTCTCTTTTAAGATATCTATTTTGAGAATCATGCACCGGTTTAATAGTCAACCGTATCTGGTATTTCTAGAGTTAAAACTTTTCTGGTTTTGTTCCTCTGTATATTGTTGAAAGAAGATAAAGTTGAGCTAAGGAAAAACTGCTTTTAATCGGTCATTTAAAAAACCAAATCATTAAACACTTGAATGCTGTTTGGACCTGAATTATGCTGACTGAACTGCCAGCAAAGAAAATTTTTTATTAGCAAAGGCATTTGATTTTGGGATTTGGAGGTATATTTCATAAGTGGTTTTCTCTTTCAAGTTAGTATAGAACTTTTTGGAATTTTTAGTTGACAGTGTTATCAATACATATTATATAAAATAGCAAGTCAACTAGGAATTACCCACATTCCTGTCATTTTTATATGCATACACAACACATTATTCAACACTAATTTAACAACTGAGTTAGACTGTCTTAAAAGAAAAAGCCAGTGCCCACCAGTGCCCACTATCAGGCTTGCTTTTTCTTAGAGACAGATAATCAGAGTGCATCTTGCTTTCTGTTTACATTGGGCAATCTCAAAGTTAGCTTTTGGGCTGACTTCTGAAAGTAGATATGTATACCGTCCTCTCTAGCTAAGGTCAAATAGCACCTGTTTCCACCTGGTTGAAAAGTAAAGTCATCTTAAACTTATATTCACAGCCTTTCTTTCACTAGAAACCAAAATTTTCATTTGTGTAGGAGAGGAAAGAAGAATAAGCCAGTTCTTCATCCCCCCTACGTTTTGCAAGTCCTATAAGCCTGTCCCCACATGAGTCTTCTGCTTTCCCCTTTCTTTAGTACTTTTCTTCTGATTGCGGGAGCCACGCAGGGGAGATCCTCATTGGGGAGATGAATTGGAAGATGAAATATTTGTTTTCATAACTGTGAATAACTTGGTCAAAATGGTAATATCTTTTTGGCTAATATTCTTACTGGCATTTTTTTTTTTTTTTTTTTTTTTTTTTTTTTTTTTTTTGCAGTGGAGTCTCACTCTGTCGCCCAGGCTGGAGTGCAGTGATGAGAACTTGGCTCACTGCAACCTCTGCCTCCTGAGTTCAAACGATTCTTCTGCCTTAGCCTCCTGAGTAGCTGGGACTATAGGCATGTGCCATGCCACCACACCCGGCTAATTTTTGTATTTTTAGTGGAGACAGGGTTTCACCATATTGGCCAGGCTGTTCTCAAACCTCAAACTCCTGACCTTATGATCCACCCACCTCAGCCTCCCAAAGTGCTGAGATCACAGGCGTGAGCCACCGTGTCTAGCCCTTATTGTCATTTTTACCAAGTCATACAGTTTATGTTTTAGTCAACTGGACAGAAAGAAAGAAAGATGGGAAGATGTCATTTAAAAAAAAATTATTTATCTCTTTTACCTTTTTGTCACGCCTGCAGAGAAAGGACCTGCTCAGTTTAGGATTAGAAGAGAAAGCCCAGATGCCCTGAATTGTTCAAGCCAAATGCTTGTGGACCAGTGTATATTCTATCATACTCTATTGTTAGAGTTAAGATTTGAGTCGGATGAGTAATCTAGAGGGGAGGCATGCCCAGTTTTTTTTCTCACTACAAACCATTTTATTGATTCCATACTATTATTTATAAAATGCAGATTTCTATTTCTAAAGCACAAAATGTTGAAACTTTAATATTACATGAAGACCTCTTAAATTAGGAGGTTGTGCTTAGGAAGAACACAACCATGAAACTAAAAGGAACTGATGTACAAAAGTTTATTACTGAAACATTTTATGAAATAAAGCAGCCAAGAAGTTTCCAGCATGCATGTCCAACTAAGCAAAATAATAATAGCTTCAAAAGTTTCTATCTCTTGATTGTAATGATATGTCATATTTCACTGGCTTAAAAAGCAGATGATTTAAAAATATAATTTCATACTAAAGGCATTTTGCTTTATAGTTCTGGCAATATGCTAGTAAATTTTACAATGTACTTAATATAATAAATCCAAATCTTGAAAAACTAACATTTAAACCAGTATTATATCACAATAGTCTAAGCTTCAGGTTTGTAATAATAAATTAATAATGGAAATGGCTCTTTTTTATTTTCTCCCTCTCCTACCTCACTGGTACCTCATTTTTCCAAACCCCAGTCCCATGAAGGCTTTGCAGCACAGCTGCTATCAGCTGGTGGGGTGCCAGGAGTTTTCCATTGTCTTGTAACAGTGATTTGTTCTCAACACATTCAACTCTTTTCTTCATTTTGGATATTCTGATTAATGGAAATATGTACCAAACTTGGCTTACCAATTTTCAAAGGACAAAAACCAATATTTACATTAAAGTGTAGTGAATATAATTTAACCTTTTTTTTTTTTTTAATCATCCATTTAGGAATTGGATACCTGCCAGTCCCTGTTAAGGGGCTGCATGAAGCATCAGTTATAAACATGGTGATAAAATAGCAGCACTTGCTAGTTAACAGAGATCTGGTTAACCAAATGCTAGATAACAGAATTTGATAAAAATAAAAAATTAGAGATGAGAAAAATAGGTTGCATAATTGCTACCGTGTCCTGGAAGAAAAACCCAGAGCCAAGAATTCACATTTTAATCACGTTAGCTTCATGTTCCCAGAAAATAGCTCTGGACTATCTAGTGTAAAGTGGTCACTCTAACTTTAATAGGGAGAAAGGGATGTTAACTATTCCTTTTGGAATTTTTCCCTATAGGGAGTGAAGCTCAGTGCCTCTGCAGTTTTCCTTTTGAATAGAGGTAGGCCTGGAGGGAAAGTGAAGGATTAGGAAGTCACTCCCGCCAACCCATGAGCTTCCCAGGTTTTCCCACCATGGATATAAGCAACTAAGTGAGAAAGTAAGAAGTAGTTGAGTTTGAGTCAGTAATATGTTTTTGAAAGGGAAAGCCATATCTAAACATCTCTGTGTACAAATGAAAGTTTTTAAATAGTATTTGAAATTATCACCACTTCTATTCCAATCTTAGGTTGAACCTCAATATGAAACAAATGCAAACTACAAATATTTTAATGCAGTGACGTTTGTAACTGTTGGTTACTAATTCTGTTTGTATTTAAAAGTTGGTAGTTCTTAACCTTTTGGGGGGAAGAGTAGTTACTGTGTAGTTCTAAGGGAACATTTCTTTATACTAGAGAAAAAATAAAAGTTGGCATCTCCTCATCGCAGTGCTCTAAAAATCAAAAAGACTATGCCGAGTACCAGGCCAGCTAGGTATGGAGGACATGAGGGAGGTTTCATGCATTCTAAAGTCAATCTTCACTAACAACATGGAATTTAAGGTCTTTTCTAACTATACTGTTATAATCCCAAAATCAAAGCCTTAATTAAAATTTGCAGGTTTTTTCTTAGAAGTAAAGAGGTTTATAATAAGTAACACTTTAACTGGATTCTTAGAAGCTCTTAAAGTATGAAGTATGGTCGATCGTATTATTTATGTAGTCCTTAATAGTTGTACCTCATAAATCAAAATCACTATAATTATTAAAATGTACTTCCTCTCATAAGATCAGTGAATTGTAAGCATATCAACAAAGATATGTTAAAAACATTCCCATCATGTCTTATCTTTTCAATTCTGTAGGTCACTATATTTCAGTCATTTTTTAATATCATTTAAAGTTCTTTTCATTGAATTGTTCATTTTTAGTTTCTTCAAGACATTTAAGTGTATAAAAGACAGAGATAACAAAGATTTTGAGATTATTGAAGTCTTCCCAGTTCTTGCCAATTATGAATGACACGTAAAAACTTTGATAATTCACAGGTGAAATAGCCCAATTTCTGGTATGTGCTCATAGTTTAGCATATGATGAAAAGCCAGACTATCAAGTGCTCAAGAAAATTTTGAACCCTGATGGAATACCTTTGGGACCACTGGAATTTTCCACAAAAGGACAAAGTATAAATGTGCATATTCCAAATAGTCAAAAAGTAAGTAACGTAATCCCTGCTATCCTATAATTACCTCCTATGATACTTTTCTATCGGATGAAGTTGTTTTAGGTCTCAAAATAAGTCTGACAACTAAGTTTCTTCTTCCTTAAATTTAACTCCCATTTCCCCTAATTCAGCACGAAGAAAGTTTGTTCCAAGTTCTTTTGACCTGTTGTCTCATAGAGAAAAATAGGATCTGTGGCCTACTGTGTACTATGAAAGAAATAAAGCAGTCACTACTGTCATCGAAATGTGACTAGGGTAAAGCTAGTCTGATGTTACTGATGAAAGCCATCATTTGCTTCTTTTCTTCAGGTTTTCTTTAGATATTGTCCTCTGTTTTTGCCTACCAATGTGGCCATAATTTGGTGGTGATAATAGTCTTAGATTTAACCAGATTATTTGTATATGCTGATATTTCAATCCATGGAAACAACTGTTTACAGAAAAGTTTATGCCAGAGATCCAGGTTTAAAAACAAAATCATTTTTTTAAAGCTACACCTCTTCTTTTAGTCTGCCATCTTCCAAAAGACCAACACCAACTTAAAAAAAAAAAAAATTAAGATTTTGAGCATTTTTAATTGGGTGGTGGAAATCTTAGGCTGCCATTAGCAAGATTAGTGGACAGGCAACTCAGCATCCATGTCTTCCCTGACCACTATCTGTATGCAAAAATAAAGTGTAGAGGGCATTTTTTTTCCTGATGCATGAACAATAAGATAGGGTCAGGATGCCATTCGTTTTTAATATTTCTTATGAACTTTGGATCATCACACGTGTTCATGAGCCAAGAATGCAGGATGCAAACTAATGTGACTGATAGGCTGCTAGATGAATGGTGAGTCAAGTATCAGTGCACAGATGGTTCTGATTTGCTGAATTTTGTAGCTGCTGCAACTGAAGACATAAAGTATCCTTCTAGTCATAAATTAGCTCTTTGGAAGCAAAACCTTGGCACCAGAGCTTTACAACCTTCAATTAGTAGGAAAAGAAGTATTTGAATGACTGTGGTATTGACATCTGTAGGCCTGCATAGTAATCATTCCTAATAGAAGAGAATATCTGTTTGAGGAGGTTTTGCATGGCTAATTAACTACCAGTGAGAATATGTAATTTTTTCATGATCTCCTGATTGTCACCTTTCTCTCATGATACAATTAGATTTTATTGTAGCAAGTGCCTCACAAACCAATTGTCAGCACTATTTACGTATTGCAGAAGGCAGAACAAAAGTTCATGTTTAATAAAAAGCCACTGGATTTTGATCTTGGTAATTACTGAGACTTATTTTAACAGTTTTATTGACTTTTGTGTTTTTATCACTTTTGCAACAAAACAAAGAGCCATTTCCTTGACATAGTATTTTTGTTGCAATAATGGTCACCAATTAATCTATGTTAATTTAAGTAGATTTTTTCCCTTTTTGTAGTTTTTCAGTTTCACAAATTTAATTGAAATATAAAAGAAGCCATACTAAAAACCGATAGCTATATCCTCTTGATATAAAATTCTAATTATTATCCACCAGAATTTTCAGTTTCATCAAATTCAAAGGGTGTTTGTTGTGAAACCATTTTTATATGTAGAGAATAGAATATAAAACACTTTTTCCAATGAGCCTCCATCAAGAATATTTTACTCCTTCCTTTTGATTAGAAAATTTTGATTATGAGTTTAAAAAAAAAAAAAAACACTTAATATACGCTTTTAAGACCTTTGCTAATTTGTTAACAAATGTGATTAGTCTGGACGTATGGATAGTAAGATGATAGGCGATATATTTTGCAGCAGATCAATATTTATATATGACTTATTTCTCTAGTATTTTTAAGTGCATACATATATTTTTAATTATAGCATAAGATATGGGCTCACCATATGAGGCTAAATTTTAAGTATCTTTTTATTCTTAAAGTTTACAAATTTTACAATGCTACAAAAACCAAACCTGAAAATGTTCAAATGCAAAGTATGACAGTATAAACTATCCTGTACTCAGTTGTCCTGAATGATGCACATACAGAATAATTTCCACGTTAAATTGCTTCCTTAACAAAAATCATTCCAAAATGCGTATCAATCACATGGCTCCAAATTTCTTTTTAGTCACAGACAGAATTCCCTTATCAGTAACTAAAATCATTTCTTCAGAACCCATTTATAAAGTAACAAAAAATGTTACTTTATATATGAAGTTACATAGTTAAATGAAATTATAAATATAGTTATATGAAGTTATAAATATAGTTATATGAAGTTCAATATTTAGTTGTAGAGATATTTAACAGACTAGTGAATGAACTCTGGACTAGTACATTTTTTGGACAAATATATTTTAAAGAAAGACATTGGAACAGAAAAGGTATACATATATAAATAAAATGTTACCATCATTCAGTATTCAAGGGAAAAAAGTTATGAATGTTTACATCTTGTAAATGTTATTTTTCTAATAACAAGTGAAACTTATACAGAGGGGAATATAATATTTTTAAGAGAAACGTGTTTTGATTAGGTATTAGAAGGTAACACATTGCCATAAGAATCTCACCAAACTTACATCACCTTTTTTTGCAAAAGAAAAAGCTTTTTTCTTTTCCCCCCCAATACCGGATTTTACTAGACATTATGAACTGTTCTCTGTAAACCTGAACAGAAAAGTTCTCAAATATGGTTATTGGAGTTAAATTGGAAATGAATTTTTGTCAAGAGAGTAGTGATGTTGATATTTTTTCCTGAAAAATCCTTTGGGTTATTTTCCTGACTCAAAATGAGGGATGTGAAACTGAAGTCACTTGCTAGTAGTTCTTGCTAGAAGTCACTGGCTCCTGAATCAGCACCACCAATCAAATTACAAGACTCTCTCATCAAGTCCACCACGGCCTCTTTATGCCACCCACTGGGATTTCATGTCCAAAACTCACTGAAAGAAACCATATTTCAGTAAGTATGCTTACTGAAGTGAGCTAAAGCTCTAGAATTCCCAGATAAGAATGTTAAAGCCAAGTTGGAAAGGAGCATTACTAAAGGCCCCATTTTGACCCATGAATAAGCTACTTTTCATGACCCAGAGGATCCTTTTACCGGCTTATCAATGACTCCCACCTTGTTATGGTGCCTGAATCATATATACAATATGCAATCATATAATATGTTACTATATTGTAATAGTGTAGACACTTGGGCATAATGAGCCCTCCCATCCTTCCTAAATGCTTGACCCAAGCAGAGGAGTAGCTGCAGTCTGACATCAGAGCTAAAACGTTCAAGCTATCCTCCATTTCAGACAATAAAAGTTTACTCCTTCATTCACCTTAAACCTGAGGTTCCCATAGCATAGCCAGGGTTGAATATATTATTATTGGTAGTAGTATGATTTGTATAGAATTCAACAGTTTACAAACTTTTTTCCTAAGCTTTAAGTCTCAAAATAATTCTATGAACTTCTCTTTATGTTTATTTTCTGTATATGAGGAAAGTGAAGTACAAATTCTTAATTAGAAGCACATTTTTGGTTTATTAATTTTTAGAAGTCCAAAGGTATTCTTGATTTTATAGAACAGTGTGAAGTTCCAATGGAAAATTGAATAAAAACTACCTCATTTGTGTAGCTACTTTTTTGAAAATGTCACACACTTGTATAGTGTCCTTCTATTATAAGGGAGGTCCGGGGTGTTTTCTATATTTACTTTTTATCTTTGAGAAAAAGTTTCACTGTGTTCACTATCATCCCACTTCACTCTTAGAATTTTTTGAGTTTCCTTAGAAATAGAATTATCCATAAATTGGTTATCATTTTGTTTAGTAGCTAGCAGTGCCCACGGCAGGACAGCCTAAGCATTCAGCCAACTAACAGCAGATCCAGGAGGCATCATCTCTTCCAGAAACCTTCACAGAGGATTGAATATCTTATATCAAATTTTGCTTATTCGTCAGAGGCTCCCAGGGCAAAAACTCTTATACCTAAAATGCCTAGCATATAGGAGGCACTAAAACCTTCAATAATATCTTAGCTAAAAATAGAACTACCAGCAGCCTTACTTCCTGTTATATATCCAAGGGAAATAAAACCAGGATGTCAAAGAGGAATCTGCACTCCCATGGTCATTGCAACACTATACCCAATAATCAAGATATGGCACGACCTAAGTGTCAATGGGTGAATGGATAAAGTGTGGTTTGTAACTACAATGCTACATATATATGTGTATATATATGTATTCACACACGCAATGGAATATTATTCAGCCATAAATAGAAGGAAATCCTAACATTTGCAACATCATGGATGAATCTGCAGGACATTATGCTAAGTGAAATAAGCCAGACACAGGACAAATACTATATGATGTCATTTATATGTGGAATCTAAAAAAAAATTAAACTGAAAGCAGAGCGTAGAACAGTAGTTGTTGGCATGAGAGTTGGGGAAAATGGGGAGATGCTAGTCAGAGGGTACAAACTTTTTCAGTAATAAGATGAATGAGTTCTGGAGATCTAATATACAGCACAGTGACTGTAATAATACTGTATTGTATTCTTGAAATCTGCTAAGAGAGTAGATCTTAAGTATTCTCACCACACACAAAAAAATTGTGATTATGTGAAGTGATGGATATGTTCATAACTTGTGGTATTCACTTCACAATGTATACATGTATCAAAACATCATGTTGTATACTTTAAATATATATAATTTTTATTCTCAATTATATCTCAATAAAGCTGGGAGGGAAAATCTCATCTAACCATTTATAACATGGAACACATTTTCACAATGATTGGTAAGCCAGTATTTTATTAGGATAAAACAGTATGCAAGAACCTTGGGAGACCCTTTGTTTCACGCTAATGGTGTGAGGTGCATTCCAAGATGACTTCAGTGGAAAAGTGGCTCAGAAGATGGTGACATAAATTTCCCCAGCAGTTTTGGAGGCTGGAGTGGTGGAAATAAAGAATCCCTGCATGATTAAGAAACATTTCCAACTTGCAAGTTACTGAAAGGCAGTGGTTTTGTCATCCTTTTATAAGCTGGGATCCTGGAGGAGGGGAGAATAAAGAGTGCTGTTGTGACAATTTACACCTCGCCACAAAACACCAGCATATTTTGAAGAGGAGAAGTGAACACACTTGGCAGTGAAAGCTAAAAATTGAGAGACTACGAATTAAGGCTCTGCTTGCCCAGCCAATGTAATTCATTCTCTATTTTGGCACTGGTTACTCCATTATTTCCCCTTTGTGCTGATCCTATGTTCTGCCCCCTATTTAACCCATGAAAAAAGGTGATGGCACTTTCAGCTGCCATAAACATGAAGCTGCTGAACAAATACTTCATATAAGGACCTTTGCTGTAGCTTTCAATCTTCCAGCAGTATTGTGGGTTCTGCCCTTCTATTTCTGAGTCTACTTCAAGGTTATTGAGAGTTGGGCATCTCCCAGATATCACTATGGTGTGAAAAAGAAACCTTAGAGACAGCAAGCTTGTAGAACTTAACCTCTGATACTGGTACATTTGATGACATGAACTGTTATTCATCTTGCTCAAAGGTTAACCTACCTGCACAAAAAAGTAAGCAACATCACAAGCTGCTTTTACATATTACTTAGGCTTACTTCAATGATAGAAAACTAAGATTCTAATTAATAAGAATTTAAACTACAGAGATATACTGGATCCACTCCCAGCAAAGGTTAATAATGAATTCATGTGCAGTTTTATAATGTGACAGTTTTCTCTAAAAATGTTGTTTTCAGTAAGCAAGTTATCTGTAGAGATAATTTCTAAAGAGTACATAACAGTGACACTAATTTTAATTGGTCTTGTCCCATTGATGAGAAAGGGTCTGGATCTTGCCAATGACCATAGTTTTTGTATAATGTCCATTTGTTGCTTTCCTCTTTATTTCTTTTTTTAAAGCTTGGCAAGTTTAGAATTTTTAAGAATCTGGGCATAAATGCCTTTTTTTAAAGAAATACCAAAAGTTTTCATTATATATTATTGTTTATTTATACCAACAGGTTGATTCACAAAAGGCTGCAACAAAGCAAGTCAATCAGGCACAAAATAGGTTAAAAGGAAAAAAAGTCCACAGTGAGAGAAGCGCTGAGTCCTGTGCATCATGGAAAAAAGTGCAAGAGGAGGAGAAGCTAATGGGATTGATGAACAATGAAGCAGCTCAGGTGAGAGGGTTGTTTGTGTGGGGGTGGGTTGTTTTTTGTTTTTTTTGTTTTTTTTTTAACTTAATGTTACATTAGAATATGCCCTTTGGGAATAAAAACACCTTATTTTCTCCTAAGGGCCAAGATTGTGTGGTTTTTTTAAATGAAAAGGGACAGAAACTATCCTAGCCAGCTGATAAAATCAAAGCTGCTGACATCAGTTATCACAGAAACAGAATAGCAGTAAGCACATTTGCATACAGAGCTGATTTCTTTATCCTAAGAATATAATGAAGTGCACTTAAATTTCTTTTGCCATCTATGATCCATTAGGGACTCTTAACGTATTCTGTACTTTTACATTGGTTCCTCGAGTCTAACCCTTATAATCAAATATAAGGGTAATGTTTCCTTGCAAATGTGGTTGTATTTTTAAATGATGTGTTTTTTACATCACTCAATCATTTGGGTGGATAGTGACTCACCGTTAGCAGATGACTCAGTCAAATAACAGCAAAAATCCTCCCTAATCTAACCTTTTTGACAACAAGAAGCCTACAATGCATTTATATTTGCAGTGAGAAAATATTTAATTTTGTCAAAATGACCAACATTTTATATGATTTATACACCATTTCCCCTAAATGATTTGAGGTAGTTTATAGTATGAAACAGGATAATTTAATATCCCTCCTTATATATCCTACCCCAAGAAAAATTGATATATCAGGCAGCTGGGATGTTAATCACTAAACTGAGCACTGAATTTGGCTCTGAACTTCTTGGCAGCTGAGACAAAAATTAGAAGCATAGTACTTATGCGTTCTTCAGCCAGCCAGCAAGTCCTCAAGTCTATCCAGAGACAGAAATGCTTTTTTTTTCAGTACTAATAGGAATCTTTTACATTTATTCTAGTATAAAACAGTGGCATTATTTGTTGTCTTACTTTAAATCTATGTTAAAAAACTACTTCTCTTAGACATATTTTAGTTCCTGTTTGTAAAATTAAAGACAAATTGTGCTTGGTGACAAAACTTAGAGATTCTAAAAATCCCTAGTTGTGAGATTTCTTTCTCAACCCTTAAGTGCACCAAATATCACCTGGTGTACAGGGGTAGCCAGGCAATGTGAAAACACTGATGCAAAGAAATGGATTCATTTTTGGCTGTGTTGGCAATGAGATATTGGGATAGGTATGTGTAGATTTTGTCACTTCGGAAAGTCTTGGTTCTTTTCCCCAGTCAGTCCTCTTCCCCAGGGAATGTTCTGCCATTTTGATTCTCATCACTAGATTAGATTTGCCTCTTCCAGAATTTCATAAACATGCAGTCATATAGCATGCATTCTTTTGGGCCTGGATTATTTCAAGTGCATTTTTTGAGATTTATCCATATTCATGCATGTATTAATAATTTGTTTTTTTCCATTGCTGAATAGTACTCCATTGTATAACTATATCATAATCCACATGTCCATTGTATAATTATATCATAATTCACAAGTCCGTTCTCCTATTAATGGACATCTGGGCTTCTAGTTTCTGGCCACCATGGATATAGTTGCTTCGAACATTCTGGCACAAATCCTTCTATGGACGTGTTTCATTTCTCCTGAGATGTAGAATTGCTGGGTCATAGGGCAGCTATATATTCAATTTTATAAAGAACTTACAAATAGTTCTTGAAAGTACCATGTTATACTCCCACCAGTAATGTACAAGAGCTCTAGCCATTCCATCTCCTCCCCAATATTTGGTATTGTCACTCTTTTTAATTTGAGCCATTCTAACATGTGTATTAGTATGTTATTGTGGTTCCAGTTATTCATCTGATGTCTAAGTTTGAGCACTTTCACATGTTTTTACTGACCATATATGTGTTCTTATAAAGTATCTTTTTCAAGTGTTCTAATTTTTATTTGGATATTTGTCTTTTTATTGTTAAGCTGTAGGAGTCCTTGTCAGATTATCTGTATTATGGATATCCTCTCCTAGTGTGTGGCCTGCTTATTCATTTAATTAATAATGTCTTAAGATGAGCAGAAGCTTTTTATATTATTTGTTATTTTTATGTGAAGTTCAATTTATCAGTCTTTTCCTTAATATATATATTTTTTTATTTCTGTAAAGATAACTAAGAAGCCTTTGCCTACCTCAAGGTCACAAAGTTATTTTGCTCTATATTTTTATAGAAGGCTCATGATTTTAGCTTTCATTGTTGGGTCTATGAGCCATCTGAAATTAATTCGTTTGTATTGTGTGAGTTGCGGGTTGAAGTTCCTTTTTCATATAGCTTACACCATCATTTGCTGAAAAGATTTTCCTAATGTATTTGGCGGCTTTTTCAAAAGTCAGCTAACTGTATACGGGTGGGCCTATTTCCGAGCTCTGTTTTCTTTTATTCTACTTGTCTCTCCTTACACCAACACTACACTGCATCAATTACTATTGCTTTACAGCAAGATCTGAAATTATAATAGTTCTTTAATCCCTTTATCTTCTTTCAAAAATGTATTGACCATTTTAGGTCCTGGTCTGCTCCATAAAATTTAAGAAGTACTTGTTACTTTCTCCCAGAAAATGCACAATGGAATTTTGATTTGGGGTACATTAGACTAAAGACAGGTTTATGGAGAGCTGGCATCCCAACAATGTTGAGCCTTCCATTGCATAAGCCTGGTACTTCTCTCCATTTATGTGGATTTTCCTTAATTCCTCTCAAGTGTTCTGTAGTTTTTAGTGTAGATGTCTTATATATCTTCCATTAAAATTATCTCTAAATATTTTTTATCCTGTTACAAATAGTAATTTTCTAAATTTCATATTCCAGTTATTTGTTGCTGGTATATAGAGTTAGAATTTATTTTCTCTATCAATTATATTTGATACACAATATAATCTTGTGCCTTGGGACCTTCCTAAATTCACTTATTAGTTCTAGTAGGTTTTATTAAATAGATTCATAAGACTTTTGCATAATGATTTCTATGAATAGAGACAGTTTTACCTCTTCCTTTCCAATATATGCCCTTTATTTTTTGTTGTTTTTGTCTTACTATACCTGCTATCATCTCTAGTATTATGTTAAATAGAAGCTGTGAGAGTGGCATCCCTGCCTTGTTCCTGATCTTAGGGGGAATACATTCATTATTTCACCATTAAGTTAGCTGTTGGCTTTTTCTAAATGCCCTTTATCAGGCTGAGGAAATTTACCATATTTGTTAAAAAGTAAGTGTAAATAATGAATGAGTGTTAAATGCTTTTTTGAGATCTCTTGAGATGATCATATGATTTTTCCCCTTTACTAGTATGATGAAGTACATTGATTTTTTTAATGTTAAATCAACCTTTATTTCTGGGATAAACCCCCACTTAGTTATCATGTCTTTTGCTGCTGAATTCTGTTTGCTGAATTCCAACTCAGTTGCTGCTGAATTTCAGTTCCATGGAGGGTTTTTATACCTACATTGATGAGAGATACTGGTCTGTAATTTTCTTTTTTCAAAGTGAAAGCAAGTTTATTAAGAAAGTAAAGGAATAAAAGGATGGCTACTTCATACACAGAGCAGATGTAACTTTCTTTTCCATAATACCCTTGCATGGTTTTGTTTTCAGGGTTATTATGAATTATATAAGTTGGAAGTATTCTCCTCTGTCTTCAGAAAATGTTTTTGTAAGATTTGCCTTTCTTAAATGTTGGATAGAATTTAGCAAGAAAACCCTTGAGGCCAATAATTTGTTGTAAGAAAATTTTTAACTGCTTATTTACTTTCTGTAATATATATAGTGATCATTAGATTTTCTTTTTTTCTTGTGTCAGCTTTGTATTTTTCAAAGAATTTTCCATCTCATCTAAGCGGTGAAATTTATCAGCCCTAAGTTAGGATATTCTTTATTATCCCTTTAACATCACCAATATCTTTATTGATGTCCTCTCTTTCATTCCTGATAATGGTAACTTTTGGTTTCTTTTTTTTTTTTTTTAATAATGTAGCTAAGGGCTTATCATTTTCATTGATCTTCTTAAAGACCAGCTTTGGTTTTTATTGATTTTTTTTTTTTTTTTTTCCAAAGAAAAACCAGCTTTTGTTTTTTTTTTTTTTTTTTTTTAAAAAATATCTTTTTTTTTTTTTTTTTTTTTTTTTTTTTTTTTCCAAAGAAAGACCAGCTTTGGTTTTGTTGATTTTTTTTTTAAAAAAACTAACATTGATATATTTTCTATTTCACTAATTCTTTATCATTTCCTTGATTCTACTTATTTTGGGTTTAATTTATTCTTTCAAGCTTCATAAGGTGGAAGTTTAAATCACTATTTTTTTCTTCTTTTTTTCTAACATACAGAGTTTAACTTGTAAATATCTAAGCTGTGCTTTAGCTGTCTGTATTCCACAAATTTTGTTATGTTTTCATTATTCAGTTCAATATATTTTCTAATATACCTTGATTTATTTGACCTGTAGATTATCTATTAGTATGTTATTTAATTCCTAAGTATTTTTAATGTTTGTTCGGTATCTTTTTGTTATTGATTTCTAATTTAATTTTGTTGTCATCAGAACACATCCTGTATTATTGCAATCTTAAAATTCATTGAAACTTATTTCGTCACCCAGGAAAGGCCCAGTTTAGTCAATGTTCCTTGTGTACTTAAGTTTTGGTTTAAGTTGATAGTGTTCAAATCTTCTATATCTTTACTGTTTTATTTTGTCCTCTTGTTTTATCATTTAATGACAAAGGAATGTTACAGTCTCCACCTGTAATTGTGAATTTATCCATTTCTCTCTTGTATACATTTTTCCTTCATAGATTTTGATGCTGTTATTAGGTATATGCAGATTTAGTAGTTATATGTTCTTGGTGAACTGTCCTGTTCATCATTATGAAATATCTTTCTACATATTTGTTATATACTCTATCCTGAATTCTACTTCATCCGTCTTTTAACAATTCCAGACTTGCTATGATTAATATTTACACATCGTATCCATTTCCATCCTTTTATGTTTAATCCACCTGTGTCTTT